TTATTCCCTTTACGTATTTTCTTTCCCCTTTTAAGTTAATGGGAACCATACACAGAAGTCAGTCAGATAAATGTACTGAAACCTTGTTAGAGTTTAATCTCTTTTTAGATAAATGCAAATATTGCTGTGTCCAGCAGTCATCTGAGGAACTTACTCATCCATTTTTCACAATGTGTCTAGTATTATCAGTTGCTGAATATTGTGATCCGAAATATTCATTCCTGATGAAAACAATAGAATTAGGCCACAGGGCTTCAGAAAATTGCTTTCATATTCAAGCAGTGCTACACACATACAGACACCTTGTTGATGATTTTCCTGCCCTGAAGAAAATATATTGCTGCTGCCACAAACCTGTCTTTTGGCACTTTGTCACTTACAAGTGATGATAAAATTGCAACAAAGAGACTTCTTTTTAATCTCATAGGTCATCGTTTGTTCTCTGGACAGTCCTCCCTTTGTCCTCTCATTTAGTTTAGATAAGGTGGAAAAATCCTTTTAGTTGCCTCTAAACTTGTCTTAAAAATACAAAATCCAAAAAGTCAGCCTCAATGTACCTTCAAATTTTTAACATGACAACTTCTTTCTTCACATTTCTCATTTAGATCAAAAGCTCTGTGTGCATCTTAAATATGTATTTCTTGGACAGCTGAATTGCAGGCAGGCTTTTTGAGTTATAGATTCACATCAAACTATAAACCTTTAGAGGGACATTTAATCCCTTTAATTTTGTGAAACCCCCCAGAATCATGTGATAATTGTATTACTGAAATGATATTATATCCATTTATTACTGCTAAACACTTAAACTTTTTTTTTTTTGTAAATTCACTTATCTGGTCCAGCAATTCAAAGTTGCAGAAATGTGGTGATGGATAGAAAGGCAGAAAAACTGTGAATAAATCCATGTATACATTGAATATTTTGAAGATAGACTTTCACACTGTTAACACAAACAATTTGGCTACATTTTTCCTACATTTTCTATACTTTCTGAGAGATTTTTTTCTTTATCTTTGTCAGTTTCTTCTTCAGCTTCATACCCCAATGAAACCCCAAACCTGTATAAATAAATAAAACAAATAAATAAATAATAAATTAAAGGGCTATTGCCATGGGATTTTGATGCACCATAAGCATAAGTATTTTGTCTCCTGTCTAAATTCTCTTCCAGATTTAATCTCCTCTGGTTGGAGATATGGAAAGAGTAAAAAGAAGCTTAAAATCTCCTGATAAAAGCAGCAGAAGAAGGTACCCCTGGAGTGTGCCAAGCAGGGTCTGTGGAGGTATCACACCTTTCCAAGGGTGAAGGAGGAGTCAGCTCCTGCACTCCCCATTGCACACAACAGCTTGAATAACGTGTCCGAAGGAAATACAGAAATGCAAAGTTTTCTGATATGAGTACAACCTCCAGAAGCCTAGGACTTTCACAGTTCCTCTTATGAAAAAACAAGCATTAAGAAATACAGAAATGGACACTTAGGTGCCTAAATAACCATTGAAGGCCAAACCCTCTGTAAGTGTCCAGGGGAAACAAGACTCATCGCTCCAGATGAAGGGATTCCTGGGTTTGAACCGATCACTACTGCAGGTAATGAACAGATTACTCATTTACTTGGATTTAAAACCTATGAATAGAAATATCTTGGGCCTCTGGCCTGTGTCACTTTAGCTCATCTCCTAAAATCACTGCATATTCACCAATATAAACTGGCAAAAGCAGAAATAGCCACAATGAGCATTCTTGCTTCTTTGTGGAATTCTTCACAATGTGGGCTTAACTTCCACATAATGAACCACCATTTTCTAGTTAAATTATAGTGATTGACAGCCTGCACAATAAATAAAGATAGAAGCCTAAATAGCCAAAGTCAGAAAATTATTTTTTCCCTAGGTTAAGTGCCCTTTCGGATTTACTAATTTATTTATTTTTTTTTTTTCATTCTTATATTTGCCTTCTTAATTTTCTTTTTTGGTAGATGTTTGTCCTGGGGTCACCCCAGGACAATGTTTGAATTTCAGATACAAAATGCAATTCCTCCAAAAAAGTGTAAATGTTGTTCAAAGTATTTTCTCGGTATGATATTGTATTGCAAATAATTATGTGTGTTCTGCGACATTACTCTTAAGGTTTCTCTCAAACTCTTTTATTACATATCACATCTTCCTGATCTTATAAGATTTTCCATGGTTATCATGAAAAATCATTGCATGAAAAATTATCATGTAAGTGTTTCCATGTCAAAAATTAGTTACATTAAATAAGGCAAGGAATATATTTTCCTCAATGGCAGAGTATAATATAGAAGCAGAAAAATATGGAAAAAACCAAACCAAAATTATGAAAATCATGAGCAGTTTTAAGTCTCTGATGGACTTTTCTCAACATTTTTGGAGGCTTTTGAAGTATTGGTGGATTTCACAGCAGCTACTGGCAGTTTCTGAACTGATACTTTAAGGCTGTGTTTATAACAGGAGCTCAATTCTGTAGTCAGATGCAAGCTGAGTAATTTTGTAATAATGAGGGGTTTTGTAATAAAATTAGCCAGACTCATGCTGTGTTTATACAGGGTTGCCCATTTGCCCCTGGCACACTCAGCAGCATGGCTTCATGCCTATGCTCTGCTCTTCAGCCCTGGCTACCCTGTCTCACACAGACCTGCTGTGCCAAAAAGGGACAATGCACAGCAGCTGGTCTGATTCAATTGCTGCCTTACAATTGAACATTGAATTAACCTGTAGCTCAGTTAAAAAAATTCCTGGATGAGACTCATTGCAGCCACATGAAGGAGGAGCTGTGCTGAACCTGCATAGGTTGCTGGAGCTGAGGCTTCATCTTACCCTGCACCAGGTACAAGACACATCTGTCTCCTGGTGATATAGCTGGGATAAATATGAGCTTGCCATGTGAGTGGTAAAGGGTGTAGCTCAGACAGGAATGTTAATGTAATTGTGCACAAAATTTCCCCAGGTTTATCACACACTTTTAAAAATTGACATGCAGTTCAGTATTTAGCAATCATTTTGCCAGCTCTGGAATTTTGCCTGTATATAGTTGTTAAGGTTTTCTTCAGTTTTATTTATTTCTGCGGCAATCCTCTAGTGTTTGATCATCTCTTTTTTTGTTGGGTTTTTTTTTGGGGGGTTTTTTTTTTGTTTTGTTTTGTTTTGTTTTGTTTTGTTCAGTGAAGCAGAGCTTCTCTATTACAGTCCTGAATCTCCACTCTCAGATCCTTGTGGTAACCCTGGCAACCCTGCTGGCAAGGTGGGATACAGTTCCAGCACCTCTGGCTGGGCAAAGTGGAGTCCTTTTCCCCCAGACCTGTATGCTAAGCTGGAGTGTCACCACTGCTGGCATGTCACCCTCTCTTTTGGTGTTGAGGGCAATAAGGTGACATGGTTTAGTTCTTCATCAAGAAAGGTGGCAGCCAAGCCTAAATATGCTTTTCAGATTTTGTCATTATTACTCACACTGGAAACTATAGGGCAATATCTGATAAATTATTTTTTGATTCTCTAATTGAGTCAACAGTTCTGTGCTTGCTATAGACAATTTTTTTTAAAAAATGAAGGAATTTTCTATCCAATTCTATAGAGTCCACAAGAACTCACTTTGTTAGCATAATCCATAACTTATTAACATAATCTATATTACATTCTCTGGTATCATCTATTAAATGATACATTCATAAGACATGTGAAACTAGTATGCATCGAAATCATGCAAATCTTAACTGTTTTTCTTTAAGTATTTCCCAAGAATCTTTCTTCCCATTTCCTACATGTGTACTTGAAAAACTTTAGGAAGGAAATTTGGAACTGATAGGCTTAAAATAGGTGCTGTTGCTCTCTTGAGAGATGTTGACAGTTGCTGTGGCTTCCCTTCAGAGGGAGCAGGCAACATGGTTAAAACTTGTTCAAACAGAACTATTGTAAAATCTTTAATCATAAATTCTCTGCAGCCCTCTGATTCAGGCAATCCTGCTAAGTGTTTCATATCTTCTCCCCAGTAGCTTTCTGTTCTTCATGTTGCTTCAGTTTTGTTGCTTTTCGGGGTCCTCTGTGTGTTCATGTTTTTGAGAGGCAATACAATAGTCTTTTTTATTTAGATCTGGTATTTTCTGGAAAAAATTCTTCTAGAAGTCTCCAAAACAACTGAGCATTTGTAAGATTAAGTGCAGTTTATTGAATATCTTAAACTTTTGAAACAGATCTCTTCATGTATGTTAGTGTCTTGGTTTACTCTTCATTAAAATCCCAAGGAATGAAAGTTTGCTTTAAGTTTTAGTCTTCAAAATTCACAATATGAAATACATTGATTTATTGATGATGTTAGTTTAACCAAGCCAGCTATTGGGGCTTTCTGCAACAATTGAATTAGATTGATTTATGACAAAATATTAATGGGTAATTTCTTCTTGATCCATTGTTGTGTGTGGGAAATGCTGAAGTCATAGACTTACTGTTCAAATCTCTTTGTTGTACAAGCCTGGGACAGAACTGGAATGAGCAAGGGGCAAGAAGGATTAGACTCAAGGTTATAGTTTTAATTAGGGATGAGAGTGGGACTGAGGCTTGGGCTGATAGTTTTACACCTTAATCCTCTGAGACCTTGTCCATGTTGGTTTAAGAGCTTTGTGAGTGCTGCTGGTGTAGCAGTATCTGTAGGGTAGTGGATAGGGTTCTAAGTTTGTTAGATTTGCTTAATGTTTGGATTCTACTTTTCTTCTACAGTGAGAATGAGGGCTGGGACACACAGGGTCCTACACTTAATGTTCCTGTTGAGGATGGGTTTATGACATAATGCTAAAGGTCGGTTGGTTATGGGTTAGTTATGGAAAATCTTTGGAGCTAGAGTTAGTCTGGGCATGTGAAATATGCAAATCATGGAGTCACAGAGTCACAGAATCATAGAACACTTTGGGATGGAAGGGACCTTAAAGCTCATCTAGTTCCAACACCCCTGCCATGGGCAGGGATGCCACCCACTAGACCAGGTTGCTCAGAGCCCCATCCAACCTGTCCTTGAATATTTCTAGGGATGGGGCACCCACAGCTTCTCAGGGCAGCTTCTTCCAGTGTTTTACTACCCTGTGAGTAAAGGATTTCTTGCTAATATCTAATCTAAATCTAGTTTGAAATTGTTCCCTTTTGTTCTATTGTTACCTGCCCATGTCTGACAATCCTCCTTATTCCTGTCAATATTTTACAATTTATCATTAATTCTGTACCAAGGGTCAGCAAGCTGCAGTTCAAGCTGCCTGCATTCCAGGTCCACTCAGAGACTATGCCACCAATGGCTTTGAAGGGTCCCTTCCAGGAAGGTCTTCAAAGGAGCCTCAGGCATGAATCCCTTCTCAAATTTAGGATTAGGCACAATGCTGAAAAGACAGTGGATGGCTTGTGGCTGTGTTGAGCCACATAAAGGCTAGTCTGACTGAGGCACAGTATGGATTCTATCTTTCCACAAAAGAGCACTTCAGTTTAATGTTAAGTGTTAGATAAGTGGCTTGATACTATTAATGATATTGATACTGCACACAGATCTAGTTGAAGACTCAGGAGAAAATTGAAAAATGGTTTTTATTCCATTCTATTCTGTGATAGGTAGCAGAGGCCAAGTGGAGTTAGAGCACAGGCAGGCAGAGGACCAGTTGATTTTATTGCTCATTGCCTGAAGGTCCTCATTGTGGATCATTTACTCTCTTTCCCAACTATGAAAATGGCTGATGGAAAACTGTATGCTGGGATGGCTTCACTGACTAGGCTGTGGGTTTGGCAAGGTAGGGAAATAAACCAAGCTCTCTCTAATATGTTTTTGCCTACTGATAACAATAATCCTTAATACTAGTTTAGACACCTTTCCCCTGGGCAAAATCAAACATACTGGTTTTCCATTTCACATCAGTTGTCAGCCTGTTTATAAGGTGTTAAATTTCATACAGCAGTAATAAGAAAAAAGTCAATTCCTGGTGTCTATGGCACTAATCAGACTTCATCTTTAGAGCTAATAGAAGCAAAGGGTAAAAAATACACTTCTTGCTCTGGCCCAGTCCTGTTTCTATATCCTTCTTCCAAGATCATGTACCAAAAGTAATAATTTATCTACATTTTATAAATCTAATCAGAACCCTTACTAGTGCTAACTGTTATCAAGACACAGTTAATGGGAACAGAAATTGTTCCCAAACTGCAATTGATTTGAGCATCAAGCTGTATAAATTAGCATGTTTCTGTGACCATGACCCCAAATCAGTCCTAACCCTGAACTAAAAAATGGTCTTGGACACCTCCCATATAAACTGTTTATTTTCCTCCAAGTGTCAGCGTTTCTCCTAGTTCTCTGGATCCTGAAGGAGCAATTCAGTTTCTTCTTTTGTAATCACACCCCCATACCCAAGATTAATTGTAGCAATTTTACCTTTACTGTTAAAGTACAATGCAGATCAAAGCAGTCTCTGCAACTTTAATAAACTCTCAGGCACTAACTGTCATGCTTTAGTCATACTTCTTTTAAAATTCAGATGGGATTTTTTTCTGTGTTTTATTCACTTCTTGGCCCTAGTTCTCAAATACTATATAATAAGAAACCCTAATAGGGCTTTGCTTTGCATTATTAAGGAGCACACATATGTGATCTGAGGTGATGTTACATATAGTCAGGCAATAACTTGCCTAGCAAGAACAGTAAGAGTACAGATAAATGTAGTCAGGGAATGTCTAAACTGCAAAACATCTCACAGTTAGAAACTCCTAGAGACAAAACACTGACAAGGTAAAGCATAAATTAATAAATGCAAACTATTATCAACAGTCTAGAATTCAGAAATTCATAATGATGGCAGCGGGTAATATTTGTATTGCAGTGTCCTGTTTACAATGAAGAGACCTGTCTTTGCAAACCATTTAGCTGACAATTAGTGGATATGTGAGTGCAGTGGGATGTGCAGTGCCTGGCTGCAGTTGGCTCTGCACTCCTCAGTAGTCTAGCCAAAAAGACAAATACAGCACAACACAGAATAGGCAATCTTTTGTTATATATCTTAAGAAAAAAACACATTTTTGAGAGTAATGTAGAAAAAATTGATCTGTACCATTTTGGGCTTCATTGCTTCAGTGTGTTTGATTTCCTTGCCAGGTTTTATGGCACAAGCTTCATTCCAGGGTAAGCATTTTAAACATGACTCAATGTGCAGTTTCCTTACTGTTTCTTTTGCCTTGGATTTTTAGCTGTTTGGAAACCTTCAACTCTCACTGTTTCAGTAGGACCATAGGAAAGTTCAGCTGACAGTACTACGTCTGTAAAATTCTAGTATTACTGATTCTTGCCACAGATGCAGTTTCCCTGTCAAAGCTGACAATCATTCCATCTTCAATCATTGGAATATCAGTACACTTTAGTATTAAAAGAGAAACTTCCTGCAGTATTCTATTTACAGGTAATTTGTCTTCTTAATAGTCCCTTGAAAACTTGGTGACAAAATTTGGTAACAGATTGTCATGCAGGGCATAATATACAATCAGTAGCTTGCAAGTTTTCACAAACATCAAAGTGGGGAGATCCATTATACTGGTACATCACAAGGTCTTTCAAAACAGCAGTGCAAAACACACTGTACCAGATATTTTTGTTCTCTGGTTGTAAAAACCCACAGCACAGTCAGCCATGGAAAAAAATGGCAGAACTCTTAGATCTTGTGCGTATCAATGCGTAGGGAGTTCGTCATGAGGTGATACTTTTAGAACACAAACTGTGATATACAGTCATTGCTTTGAAATGTTAGAGAATAAGTTGGGAGGAAAAATATAAATATCCACTGTCTTGAGGTGCCAGAAGGCATGAAAAATCACCACCCAATAAATCTTGTTGGGTTAAAAAATGAGTTCCTGGCACCTCTAGGACTGAATACACAGGATTACCTGATTTATGGGAGTTATGAAGTTACATGGTGCTACTTGAGAAGCCCAAGGCAGGGAGCTGCTCAGGTGAAAGGATAAACAGTGATTATACTTGATTTTCAATACTGAGGTGGAAAGGAAGAAAAAGTTCCATCAAGCCTCAATCACTCTTTGAGATCTTGTTCTGGAAATATCTTTCTGCCAGATACAACAGCATTTGGGCAGCTTCCAGCATCACATCAGGGTGGTCCTTCACTGAAAAAGGAAAAATAGCCAAAACCCAAATGCTTAGTAGGAATGTTGATTTTCATGCAGGCAACTAGGGGAAGTTTTTTCTTCTGCAAGAATGGGATGTTTAGATCCTCACGTAAGAAGAAACAAATTCTCTAAATGCACAATTGGGGTGAACAAGGGAACAATTATTTTGTAGATTTTGAGTGTGGGTATATGGGAGTGTTAGAGAACTATTTCAGATTTGAACAAATCCTGCTTGTATTACTTGAAAATAGTTCTAGTATCTAATTAATGGAATGGTATGGAAATTGTTGTCAGTGCAAGTAACATGATTATAAAAATGACAGTGTCCAAAAGGTGAGAATTTTTCTTATTTCCTTTTGAGTTTTTGGTAGTGTTTGCTCATTTTCTTCACATTATTAAGACACCAATAGCATGAAGTAGCAAGTAGATCATTTGTTGGGAGATGATCTAGGTGTAGGTGCTGATACCTTGATGCAGGGAATGGAGCAGAGGATCTCTGAAAGTATTGTTTTCAATGGTTAGAAGTAAATCTTGGTTCTGCTGAATCTGTCAGTCTCTTTTCAAAACAGACATGCCTGGTATATGAGTGATTGTGAGTAAAACTATGTAAGGATTCAGGCTTATTTTCAGAAAGAAACAACACTATTATTCAAGTCTGCTTGAACTTAGAAACTGGCATTGTAGGAGATGTTGAGTGCCTTGACTCCGATGCGAATGCTGAAAATTACTCAGAAAGGGAGAACACAATCAGTTCTGTTTAGATTCCTAGCTTTAGGTAACAGGACTTATTCTTTTCTTTTTTCCATTTTCTCACCTCCCAGAACTGAAATACTTTGAGAGCCTTTGACTGAAAATGTGAATAATTTATGCAAAGCTATTGATTATAGCTCTATTTCAAGTTCCTTCTCATCAGTAAGAACTTACAGTTTCAATTCCTCTACAACTCCTGTTCTTTGTCAGACATAAATTGCAGGCGCCATTATATCCCTCAAAACATTTTCTCTTTCCTTCATTTCTTTCCCTTTATGTTTTTCTTCCTCCCATCAGCAGGTTTCTTCCTTCTTTCTTTCATTTGCAACAAAAATATTTCACTTATTTCAGAGAATAATAAGAGAAATGAAGAAATTGTTACCCCAAATATAAAAAGCTAGTTATGGGGCTTTTTCACTGTAATACTTCTGTGAAAACTTTAAATGTGAAAGTCTTCCATGTGTTAGCATGGGCCAGTTATTTTGATCTAAGCTTCCCAGATAACAGAAATTTTAACTTTGAAAGATAATTTTTTTATAGACCACCAACAGCATTTTCTATGAAATTCTGCCTTACTGGAATATGTTGAGTGGGTGCACAAGCCCTGCATGCTGGGCAAATAGCACACACCCACACCATCCCCTACTCCTGCCTGGGTGACTGGCCTTACAGTCTGGTGCTGTTGCCACTAAGGACTTCCCCTACAATAGTCCCCTCCCATGGTGGGGCATCAGCTTGCCAGCAAATGTAAGAATAAATAGTTCTCAAGAAATGAGGGCTTCCACTGCTGTTGCTTGTGCTAAATGTAAATTAATGAAGAGAGGTCTGGTTTGCAAATAGCTGGATGGGCTGAGACTGATCAGAAACCATCGGGCAGATGCAGAGATATATTTTATTTCACTTTTCTTTCTAAACTCTGAAACTGAGTCTACATTTAGGAGAAAACCTTGTTTCAACTCTCCATTGGCAGAATAACTCATTATTTTTTTAATCTGTTAGATGTCCACATAAGAGACCACATTAATATATGAGTTCAACCAGGAAAAATCTGGGCTGTGAATATAAAATTCTACTCCTTGCTAAAGAACTATTTGGGGCCAGAATGATTCTCTGGCAGAACTCCCATTCATGCAGGCTGCATTTATAGAATGTCAATATGAAGAAATTACAGAAAAAAAAAAAAGAAAATGGAGGTGAATATTGTAATTGAAAAATGAAAAATGTATTTTATTAGGCATTCTTTTAATGTGTTTTTACATACAATTTTGTTCTAAAAAATTCTGGCTTATCCTGTATCTAGTGTACACTTAGGTATATTTACTGGTTGGCTGTTATGTATTTTTTTAAACCAAGCCAGAGAATTAGTTTTTCCTCCTAAGTAGGATTAAATTTTCCTTTCAAAAGGAATTAATTTGCTTTACTTCTTGAAAATACACTGCAGGAACCAGGCCTCAGTCAAAACAGAGCTTCATAGAAAATCAAGAACCTCTTTTATTCCTGCAATTTTATGATCAAATTTAGTACTAAACTTTATTAAGCAATGTTTTGCTTTTATAATTTAATACACTAACAATTTAGAAATGTGCTCTACTTCCAGAAGTGGTTAAGAAATCTTAAACACTTAAGAAATAAGTAATTCTGGCAGGTAAGAGGCAAAGAGCTGCTCTTTTTGTGTGCACCTATGTGTAATTGTGCAGTGGACCTTCACAGGAACAACACGGCATTATTGAAGATTTGTCCTGAAAGATTTATCTTATTTTGTTAAAACAAGTCATTAGATTTATCTCTTTCAGTATCATAGGTCTTCATTGAGTCAAATAAACCATATTTTGTTTACCGCCCTGGAAAGATATAAATGCTAAATACTCTTTAACTTTACTTTATGGGAGTGAATATTATATTCCTCTTTCCAGTGACCTTTTATTGCCTTGTGAATAAAAAAATAATTTACCAGACAGAAATAACAGCCAGAGGAAGGTGGGATTTATGAGTATGCCAACTCCACTAAAACCAAAGGATAAACATAGTAGTTTCAGAATAAAAATGGTGAATTATCTAGTGCTCTGGTCTCAGAACTTTAAAATAACTTTTCTCAGAAAATTAGAGGTTTACTTATGCCATCATGGCCGAAGCAAAGGAATGAAGGCTCTGGGGTTTTTCTCCTTTTTTTTTTTTTCCTTTTTTTTTTTTTTCCCCTGTTACTTTTATTCTTTTAAATCTAAGGAAAAAAAAAAAGGGGGGGGGGATATTCTATTTGTAAGGAATTAGAATATGAAAGAATTTTCTTTCTAGTTTATATCATTATATATATGAACTGCAGAACATTTCTAAATTCTGGACACAGCAGATTTTTGTACTCCTCCAGCAGTGTTAACGTATCCTGTTACTGCAAATAACTGTAGAAATTCTAGAACTTTTCAAAATGAGACAAAATTCAAGTTTCCCTGCTGGAATCTATTTTCTCCATAGGATCTCTGTTTTGGAAACAGGGTCTACTTTAAGAAATAAAATGGAAACTTTTTTTTCTCCCAGAGATCAGCACTCAGAAGGTGTGTTCTGTTTCCCAGAGGTAGCACTCAGTGCTACCCAGAAACATTATTTAGGTGGCATCATGCTAAATTCTTTGCTGAAATCCAGATAGGCTGGTTCTTTTACACTTTAAAACTCAGTTAATCTTCTCAAAATATGTCGTTAGTCTAGTTCAGTAATCCCACTTGCATTTTTAACTCACTACCCATTTATAGTTTAAATCTGATTTTTCTTTCATCTGAGATTCTCACTGAAGTTTTGCACACAGGTCAGACTCACAGGTATAAAGCTCATTTTGTAATTCTAAGTCCTCCCTCTTTTCTTAAATGAAAGAAGCTTGCAAATATTAGTTTCATTATTTTTAAAGCCATATGATGCTGCATCTGCATTAACAAATTAGTAAAAACACTTAGCATTAACTTCTGGGATTGGAAACATTTTGTTTTCCCTGCTTAGTTACATTTTGCACTTTGATTCTCTTTCCTGCTGGTATTTAGTAGCTTCCAATTCTCTATCCCCTGCCATCCTTTGGAGAGGAAGAAGAGAGGGAGAAGGAAGAAAGGTGGAGGGCAGCAAGGCATCCCTTTGCAAGGTGCAGCACATCCCCATCACAGGGGGCTTCAAGTGACAGATGGGATATGAGGAGAAAGAGTGAAAGGAGGGGAGAAAGGAACCCATGCAAATTTGAGGAAAAGAAATGGCTCCTGTGGAGTCAAGAGAATAACAGAGAGTAGAGTAGGGTCTGGCTACACTAGATCAGGGCAGGAAACAGTGGTCAAGTCCTTTGTTAAATGGGGTTCAGCATGAACTGCTGAATAAGGATGAGATGGCTGCTTCCTCCCAGGAAGTGAATGATTGAAAGGGAAGCACATAGCAGAGCACTCTTTGCACCTTGCACATTCCCTGTCACATTTCATTCTCCAGGTTTTCGTCTGTCTCCTGTGGAAGCTTTTGGGATGGAATACAGGGATATTGCATGCCAATATGGAGAGTCAGGTGAGGGCTTTTACCCTTTTTTTCTAAGGTTTTTGGTTTATATTGATTTCAATCTTATTTAAATGTTGTTCCTTATTTCATGTTTCAGATATTTTCCCTATTACCATCAAAGAAACGCTTACTGGTAAAATGTCACACTTGCATGTATTTCCTAAGCAACATGTTCCTCTTTAAAAAAAAATAAAATTAACTCATTCTTAGTTTTCTGTAGTCTGGAGAAGGTCCTCATCCATAACAGATTGAGGAAATCAGTCAGCAAGATTGCTGGACCTGGTGATCCTCATTCCCTCATAATTCCAAGGGAGCTGGGAGGGACTCCCACTGCTGTGTCCTCGGTGGAAGACTGGAGTGAAAGAGCAGCTTTGCATATTACCTCTCCCCAAACCAGGCACATGCACCTCCCAGCACTATGTGGAATTAGCTAGCTTTTCAGCTGCAAAAAATAACAAAGTCAAAATCTGAAGTGAATTATCATTTGTCTTTTTCTTCATAAAATGAGAGTATTCTCCTGCCCTAGGATTTCATAGATTTCTATGCTAAATTAATAAAAATATTGTGAAGAAATGTCCATTTTGCACCTGTAATAGAATTTTCTTGCATCAGCAGCAGCTCTGTCTGTTCCATGTAGGTGACAGGCTGACAAATGGAAAGATTATTTCTGTTCCTTCTTTCATTTGAGAGTCATAAATCTGAAAAATGCGGAATAGATTTTTTTCATGCATCTTATAAGATTTTATAGGGAGATCCAAGATGGCAGAGAGGGCACAGTTCCAGAATATAAATTAAGATTTGTACTGGTACCACAAGCAGTCACTCAACATGATTTGACAGTATCTTTGTCAAATCAATATACAATGCTTTGTTGAACTAGTGGAGTAAGTGGATATGTCTGATAAAATAAACATTGTGTTGTCCATGCCATTGACATGAATGCTTATTTAATAAGATCGTTTTGATTCAAAGTCAATTTTCATATTTATACTATTGCAAATCCTGCAGAAGCAGCTATGTCAGTCATATGTATGACCTCATATTCCTTAGAGATGCAGATCTGCTCAGCTTTGTCTTGGCGTTTGTGCTTCTGTATTGATAGCAAATACTGTGAAAATTTATATTCACCCTGCATAGACAGACATGAAGCTTTCTTCTTTCTCGGTGGTGATAAAGAGATCAGGCAAAGTGGATGCTGAGTTATTGGTCAGCTCAGGAGCTCTTTGTCACAAGGCATTTCACTCTGTACTGCTCTGGAGCCAGCTGATTAGAGGGCAGTAATTACACTATGGACCTACTCTTCTGCAGGATTTTTTTGTCTTGGTTTTTGATGCTGCAGTTCCAATAGAAAATTTTCCTCAGACGCAGAGCTACAATATTTTAAGAAAAGTATAGATCCTTCTGATCTTATAGATTCACATATCTGTGGCAATTCAGATGCAGTGGATTAAGTTGTCTTTCTGCTTGTGAGCAGCTAGAGCCAGGGAAAATGTCACCCTTGGCCACAATCATACAGTCTTCAGGGGACATTGGTGTCACTAGAAACTGATCTCTTACATCAATGACACAATTATATTGAAAAATCCTTATGAAATTTGAAATTACATACCTCATCTATAATTTCATTTATCTGTTCTGTTGACATCCTAAGCCAATTTTTAATGATAAACCTTTGCATTCATTCTATCCTTTTCCTTTTCTTCTTTTTATTCCTATACTTTTATACAAGCACAGGTGCTCTTTTGTCAGTTGATATATGCCCATTATATAATCAGAAGGCACTTTAATATAACCTTTTAGTGCATGAAAGGACATATTACAATAAGAATTTACGGTTGTCTGATTTCCCCAAGAAAGTTCATTTTGTTCATGGTATAAAAATGAAAGCCTGGTGATGGCAGGTTCTGTTCTTTAACTGTGTGCCAACATCTTCATCACTATAAACCCCTCTTATTTCTGGTAGTGCAAGAGATACTAGTTGCTGCCTGAGCATGAGTGACTCAAATATTTTTTGTATGGAATTTTTTTAATGGACAATTAAATTTTTTTAGTAGATGCAACAGGACTGATATATGGCTTTCTCACAGTTACTGTTTCCACAGAGCCAGGCATGTCCCTTTCTACCTCAAATATCCTGAAACCTTTACCTTTCCTTCTTTTCAACTTCACAGGCAACAAAAATTGCCTTTTATGAGGGATCTATATAAAGACTGACCCCTCACATCCGAAGCTTTGAGCAGGATTCAGGGTTTGTGCCTAAGTTTTGCACACAGAGAGAGCCACAATGTATTTGAAAATATGAAGCTATAAAATAACTGTTTTAACTTGAATGTAGAATGTCTGTTTCAGTATGAATCCCTGGTCTTCTTTAATATATGAAAGAGCAGCCTAAAGCAGAGAGGGCAAGCCTGGGTGAGTGGGCTGGTGTCTTCAAATGTGATGAGTGGGAGGTACAAAACTCCCTGTGTGCCTCCCCTCTACCTCCTACTCCCTACGTTCAACATCCATCTGCAGATGGAGCAAAACAGGGAAGAAGCAAAGAGGTCGCTCTGTTCCTCCTCCATAGTGTGGCCGCCTTCGTAGGATGATTCAGGAAATTATCCTTTTTCATGCATTCCACCCTCTGGCAGGCATCTTTCCTATGGAGGATGTCAGCAGCATTTCTACCTCCAGGAGGAAGAAGATAAAAATTGTAAATAACATTTTAGAGTTAACTATTTTTGGCTATGTTGCATAGGCTGAAACTCCTATTTTCTCCTTCAGAAATTTGTTTTGTGTGATCTGACCGAAGCAAGTCAGGGAAAGAACACAAAAGACACAAAATCACAGACCAGTGATTTTGAGCCGTGGCTGATCATGTTTTTTATCTTTGCACACTTTCAATTCCGGATACTTCATTGTTTGTGGGTTTTTTTAAGTAACTGGATCTCCACTGGCTGGTACCTCTGGTTTCAAAACAAGCTTCCCACTCACAGGTTGCAGTTGCTCCTGCATGTTCTCTCCAGTTAAGTCTAGCCTGCTGGGTAACACTGCTGCACTGATGTCTCAGCTTATACCATGCCACCCTCTGTTCCTCGTAAAAGACTTGGGCACACAAACCAGTAAAAACAGGTTTTTTTGAACCTGATGTGAACTGTAGACTGTGCTTAATTTTGTAGTCTACTTATAGCCTCTGAATTGCTTCTTGGGCTCTCAGGGTCTTAGTTGAGAAGGAAGCTTTCACTCATTCACAACAATTTTTAACAGAGCACTTCACTATACTTCTGTTTACAAAACTGTAAACAGCACTAAGGAGTGTTCCTCCTCTCCTCCTCCACCAAAGTGAATGTGAAGAGAGCAGCTCCTGTCACTTGGTGCTTCCTCTTGAGGCTGCAGCTTTGGTAGATAATGCTAAACAACTTAGTACAAGTCCAAATGTTGCGACAAAGACTACTACCTTAAAAATAACCACACCTCCAGAAACAGGAATTCTGAAAAATTCTTGGGGTTTGGAGCAGATGATCTGATGCTCAGTGCTGAAGCACAAAATCACTAATGAAGATAAACAGGATGATCTCAAGTAAGGACGGGAAAAGAGAGTGGCAAATTTAAAACCAGCCAAACCAAAACAGGGATTATTTTTTTAATGCTCTGTAAGTAAACTGCTAAACTTATTGGCATACAATATTACTTTTCACAAGGGTATGAAGTGGTAGGACAAGGGATAGTGACTTTAAAGAGGGTGGGTTAGGATGAGATATTAGGAAGATAGACTTCACTTGTGGGGGTGGTGAGACACTGTAATAGGTTGACGAGAGAAGCTGTGGATGTGTGCAAGTGTTCAGGGCTGAGTTGGATGGGGGTCTGAGCAACCTGGTCTTGTGGAAGGTGTCCCTGCCCAGGACAGGAGTGTTGGAACTAGATGAACTTTAAGGTCTCTTCCACCCCAAATTTTTCTCTTATTATGGAGACCAAAAGTTTATGCTAATGAGACAAATTCTTGTAAGTACCTTTCACAGAGCACTCCTGAGGACAGAGGTGTCTGTATTTGTCATAAAGCTGGAGTCTAGTAGAGGAGTTCAGAAAATATCACTCACTTTTTTTTTCTTTTTCAAACTTTCCCTGAATCATCCACTGCACACCTCTGTCAAAGACAGGACGTTAATCTAGATGGACCTTGGGACTGACCTAGCACAGCTAGTCAGATGCTGCTGCTTCTTTTACTGATATATTTACCATCCTGATATATGATTAAGTCTCTAGTTCTGATGTTCACAGTCTAAGAAGGAAACTGAAAATTTGAAGACTGTAAGAATATTTTTTTAGTACTAGGAAACAAGTAAAATACTAAGGGGCCCTCTTTATTCCTCTTAATGAGGGCAGAGCTAAGGGACAGTTTGCTTATAGTCCAAAAGTATCTAACTGAGAAAGACCAAACTCTTCAACAGAAAGAAGTCATGCATGATGGTAGGATTCATCTGGCTAAATATAGATGACTGTGCCTGAGCTGGTCCATCTAGAAGCTCTGTGTGTCAATACAGATCTAAGCAATACTCTCAGTAGATTGTAAAGCACAATTCATCTCAGTCTAAAGGAGATGTCTAAAACAGGTTAGATGAATCACTCCCTTAAAGTTTCTATTTGTTCTACTGTCTGTGAAAGGCACCTAGTGTGACTGGCACAGTTGCAGACCACTACTGAAGTTGCTTAAAGTTGGTTAAGTTTTACCCTTAAGGTCTGTGAACTGATTGCTGGAGATTAAAAAGAGTCCTAGAGTACAGTACCTGCTCAGTGTGATTAGCAATTGGAATATATTATGAAGAACTGAGATGGCTCTCTCTCAAAAACTTTTTTGAAAATAAGGCTATGCTTTATTTCCTAGAAAATATCCCTAGAAACCTGGCTTTTTGCCTTGTTCCAGAGGACTCCTTTGACCTGTGTTGTACAGAAGATCAGATTATCAAATCATATTGATTTCTCCCAGTCTTAAAAATCTGTGCTTTCAATCACTGTTTTCAGTCATTGCTAATAAAGAGTGGCATGTTTTCAATTCCTTTCTAAGTGGGTCTTGATCAATACAGATGTTGCATTTACCTGCAGGGTTTTCCCTACAATTGTTTGCTACTGCTGCTGTGCTGCTGTCAAAAGATGTAATGTTACCAACCAGCTGATGAATCTCAGGCATTCTGACATTTTCCTATCAACACCAAGGGGCAGATTTAGCTGTGGCTCAGAGTGGTAGACATCCCCCTAAGCTCCATGCTGTGCAGCCAGAAGCGAAGCTGCAATGTACGACAGCCTTGTCTACCAATATCATGGCAACATCCAGTCCCATGTAGCCAAGTTTATTCTTGTATCATTTAGTATGCAGTGAAAATGGCTGAATTTAAAGCTGACAGTTTAAGGAGGGTCTTTCCCTACTCAGTCTTTTGTATCACTGACAGGTTTATCTCTAGTGCAGGATGCCTTTATATCCATCAATGTCAGACGGAAAGAAAAGATAATGGTGAGCATGGCTATGGCATGAGTGTGTTCTATGCTGTCCTTGTTTTCATTAAGTGCAATGGCAAGCAAACACATTAATTAATCTTAGTCTCAAATACAGTTTTATTTCATATTGCTGACATTTATGATGACTAACTAGGACTTGCACAGATTAGCTGTATTCTTGGGGTTGCTGGTGTGAAATCATGTTGTGAGTCAATACAACATCAAAACCACTTTTGACTGCCCTGAATACTAAAAAGTTCTCTACTCATTTTGTCAAATCTATGACATGCATTATAGTTCCTGATACTGTCTCTTCATTATTGTTGCTGTAATGAGAAATTCTGCATGCTTACTTTTTAAAAAAGGACTGATCAAGGGGACATGGGGGAATATTAGAATAACACCAGAATGATCTGCTTTTCATGGGCTGAACAGTGATCAGTATCACTACTGATAATCACTGTTGTCTCACCTGATTTGTTTTCATGTCACTAATGAGCACAGCTGGAAAAGCTATACCTGAAAGGCTTCAATTCGTGGTTCCTAAAGCTGGATCTTCAGTTGCAGGTGCTCAGACATCTCTAAGGTACTATCAGCAAGCCCAGTCATAAATCACAGAGACTTGCTGTTTACCACTATGACTGATCTCCAAAAACAGGATCAATGCAGCTCATTCCTGAAACCTGAAAACAAGTGTATATATATAAGAGAAAGTGTCGACAAAGACAATTTTATAAAGAAGGTCAAACTTTAATTCACCTTGGTTCCCAGAAACATTCCTTTAAGCCTCCTGATGAGAATATCTTCACAGCCTGTGTGGATTGCATTACGCCTACTCTTAAACTGATTCCTTTAAAGATAGTTACTGACTCATTTTTATTCTAAAAATCTTTACTGTGGTGACATCCCTTCTTATCCAATAAGGTAAATGCAGATGAATTAAATGTAGTTTTCAATGGTATTTTTGCTGCTAGGAGGCTAACACCAGGTTTTGCCCCAGTTTGGGGCAATGGAGGGGAATTTTTTTCACTTTTCCAGGAGAGGCTTGGAGAAAAGGGAGCACTTGGAGGCAGTGATGTATGGTGCAGTCTATATCTGCTAGCACAGGGAGCTGCCTTGTTGTGGGGAGAAGGCAAAATCAAAGCTTCTGCCAATGTAATCCCTTTCTCCTTGCACGAAGTAAAGTCATTACTCTGCAAAGAAAGATCGTTCTCCCTCTCACAATCTGGTCTTTAACTCCAGCATCCAGTACTGAGGCACAGGAGGAATTTTCACAGCCTTTGGCTTCTCTTTGCTGTGTGCCAGCTGAACCACAATTTGTTCCTTCTTGAATACATCCTGCAACTGAAGAAGCAGACTGTGCAACCATCCTAGTCATAAAAGGTGAGTTTTAGGATCCTTCCAGCCCACTATCCTTTTTCTGAGAGTGGACAGCAGCAGATGTTCTGGGAATAAGTAAGATAAAGGCAAGCTACAGTGACACTTTCATTGTGTCTTTGCCTTGATTCCAGGGTTTTGTGCTTCTCTCATTGTCTCAGCTGGAGCCAAATTCTGCCCAACAGTTTCTTCAGAAAACTTTTACAAACAATACTGCATGTTTTTCTCCCTGCCATAGGTCCTCAAGACAGTGATTCCACTGTGAATACAAACAAATTCATCTGTTGCATTACATTCTCCACCAGTTGCAATAGAATAAAGCTTGCTCCTGGCAGGTTGCCTCTTTTTCCCTGGCACAACTTGAAGCAGGAATCTCAATAAATAGGTAGGCAAACCCTTTTCTCTGACAGGACTCAGCATCAGCTTATTTATATAACTTTGCTGACTTTCCTGGAGTTAGACTTCATTTTCAGTGGACTCTGTGTTATGTTTACAAGCTAGGATAGAGCAAAAACTTTTGAACCTGTGACAGTTTTAGTGTAGAGCTGTGCAGGCATAGCTGGGTAAATGGGCAAAAGAAACATTCACACCATATTCTGGTGCCAATTTGAGCATTCAGCAGTCTTCTGTAGCCAAGAGAAAGTGAAGGCATATACCTCAGCACTACAATTATCCCAGAGAGATCAGCAGCCTTGTCTGGATGCTAAATTTGGAATACATGAAGAACCTTTCCATTACTCCAACATTTTCCAGCTACAAATTTAGTCTTAAAAATAAAATTAAGTGACTAGGTCTCTGGCAATCTGTAGTGGCCCAGCATCTTGCCCTGCAGCAGTTTCAAGTCTGACAACAACAACAGAACTTTTAGGAATGAAAGCTGTGACTGATTTTCTAGTTAACTTAATTTATTGTAATTAGGTTTACTTAATTATACATACAGCTGTTCCACACCCTCAACAGAGCCCAGGGGACTGTTTAAAGTGCTTAAGTCTAAATGTCATGTTTTAGCACAGTATAGAGCACTGTATTGTTCTTCTCAGGATCTGGTGGGAAGGAAGGGCATCCAGCAGCCCATGCTTCTTCCCTTTCACTTTCTCCACACACTCTCAGCACATTCTCCTCCCCCATTGCCTTCTTTTCTTGCAAGGAAGAGATGTCTGCTCTTTTGCTATACCTGACCTGCACTCACTTGGTGCACTGAAGGGTTGTGGAGCTCACCACCTTTCCCCTCTGTGGGGCACAATTTTGCTGTCCTCAGTAAGTCTCACCTGGTCTTGCCAGGGGAGGAATATGCCCAACAAAAATCTGAACCTTGAATTTTCCGCTGCCTTTACACCACTGGGATATAAAAATGTTCCTTTTTCCTTATCACAGATAAACAGTGGAAATATTTATGATATTGAATCACATATTACAAGTCTCGTGAGAAGATGTTCTTTAAAGTAAAGCTTCATAAGGACTTTTTCAACCCTGTTCACAAAGCATTTCTATGCCCCTAAAAATATTCAATAAATTCTTTTTTTAAATCACCTTAGCAAAAAAGGCAGCCCAATTTCAGCAAATCAAGCATGTACTCATGTAAACAATCAGCTGGATTCTTCCACTAGGTTTGTATTGTTTATTGAAAGTAGTAATGACAATAGTTGAGATAAATAGGAATTTTAATCTGCTTTTCTGAGATGAGACTATGCAAGGTCACCTTCACTGTAATTCAGATACTTGCATGTGCACACTCGTGACACCGATAACTGGAGCTGTCCAATTTGGTTTGTATTGTCATTCCACTTAAAATAATTTATTTTCATTCTTTTCCCCTTATTAATCCAACAGATTTTTATATCCTTATCTTTATCAGCTCCTTCCTGTTTTGTCAAACTTTTGAAAGCGAGATGTAGAAGGTGCTGGAGCATCTTGGGGATAATTACTCTTCAACTAATTTGAAGCAGTAATGATGATATTCTAGATTTTTATGGAGCAAATGTTTTATGTTTTATTAATTGCACTTGTTCTTTCCTTTGGTATTTTTCCTGATGTCTAATAGCCTTCCAGGTTTACTGTCTAAACTACTTCTATGCTGTATATCTCATACCCCAAAAGATAGGCTTTATGATAGCACTCTAAAGTCCAGATGCTGCCCTTTGGAGAAAGAAAGTATTTATGAAGAAAACTTTAGTCAGAAGCATGTTCAGTTCTTGTGATGGGGAATGTCTGGCAGATTGTGCCCTTTCACAGACTCAATGTATAGAATCTGTTTGTCTAACACAGTCACAATTTGTACAACAACAATTCTATTCAGGCACCTCAGAAAGTCTAACAGGTATAATCAACAAAAATCCCTATACCTTTTCTCCACACCCATCTGCCTCTTCCTCTCCCCTTTCATTAACCTTCTCTTCCCTGCCAAGAACACAGGAATTTTGGCCAAACAATTGGGTAATATTCTTTTGTGTTGGAAACATTACATCAAGTGTTTGAGCCAGAGAGGGTGAGCTGCTGGTGAGCCAGGTGGTGTCCTGGCAGCTGTCTTGGGGTAGTGTAAGGGTGGGACTGGGCAGAGCTCGTATCCCCCTGGCAAGGAAGCTGTCCCAAAACTCTGCAAATCCTCACAGGATTTTGCAGATAAAGACTGGGCAGTGTATAAGGGGGCAACACCTAAATTTAATTATAAACTATTAGAGACTTTTGTAAAAGTCATTGAACACCTAAACATATTCTGAACATAAAAGCACTTGAATCTGCCTTTACAAGACTTCAAACCAATATTCAAAGGGGAACTTGATGCTGTATCCTATTTTTGTATGTAAATCATCCCTGTTCTTCAAGCATTGCAAAACTCAAAATATGTCAGCAAGTTTGTGACATCACTCCTATAGTTTAGGGAAACACCATGGAAGAGATGGGAATAAAACTCAGAGCCTGTAGTTTCCATGTGATCTTTCAAGATGTTTCTGGTGGTGCAAAAACTAGGGGGGTTTTGTGACAATTTTGTCTTTTCAGTATTACTGAAATTGGTTGGTGAGGTTGGGAACCTCAAGCTGTAGCTTCTTAGGCAGATTCTTAAGGCATATTTAAAGTGAAGGTCGAATTGTGCTCTCTTAATGAAGTGTTGGTTGTTTCTTGTATACCTTGCAGAAAAAACCCATAGCTCTGCACAACAGATGGAGGGCCAGTTGCCCTGCTGTGCCCCCGTGAGTCCCTGTTTTGCAAACAAACAAAGCAGAGGCAGATACATTCTTGACCTCTAATCACAACACTTTTATACTATTTAGAGAGTTGAGGATGCAGGTGATGCTGTTGTCCATGAGTTTGGTTGGTGCTTTGTCAAAGACAAGAGTCCTGGAGTCAAACAGGACACCCTTAGCTTCAAGGGGGTTTCTGGCACAGAAATTTTTGATGGGACTGTGTGACTGTTGTGATGATGCATGAATATTTATGGACTTCTTACTTGAGGTATATTTTTGTGCAATTCCTGCTTTAAAAAGCTGTTGAAGATTGCTTTTATTTCTGACAATTAAATGTGGGTTTTTCCATCTCCCTTTGCTACCCATAGAAAACCAGAGGTTTGTGAAGCTTAAGGCATGGCACGTGTCTCACAAAGTAGTGTTAGACACTGTGCTCCTCTATTGTGGCTCTCAAAGCCCCCACTAAACCTCTCAGTGTTCTTGTCATCATTTTCATATGTGAAACACAGAGAAGACTTGAATTGCAGGTATTGCCAAGAGATTAACTGGCAATCTGAAGATGGCTCCCAGAAAGGCACTGTCCACCTTCTGTAAAGGGTGAAACAAAAAATTTGAAAGAAGAACAATTAATGTTTCACAGAAGTTAGAATCCTCTTCCTCCAAGTGAAATAATTCATACACTGTGAGACAAGTCCTGTCCCGGTTGTTTTAGCCAAAGTTGCTCTGTAGCCTCACATGAACTGTTTCATTGGTGTTTGCACCAACTCTCAGGGGAGGATCTCCTCTTTTTCTATGTTCTTAAACATTCAAGTGTCCAGGACTGTGGCAAGAGAAGCCCAGAGTCACAAAAAAACCCAGAAGTACGAGAGAAATTTTTCACTGAAAGTAAGAGCAGCTTGTTAGCAATGTATTAACTCACACTTGTTAATTTACATCTGACATTTGACTGTCACCTCATTCTCCTGGACACCACTTTTGTATTTATTCACTATATGACATCTTCTGGTACTTAAAGAGTAAGGCTCAAATTCACAAAGGGGCTGAGGGAAGAAGAGGTGTGAGAGATGGCCCAAACTTATTAGCCATAATTACTCAGTACACCTAAGCAGGTGTGCAACTCTAGAGCTAATTTTGGCCTTTTAATTTAATTTTTTGACTTATGTGTTCCATATATTTACTGAGGATTCCCAATGCTTCCAAAACTGGGGGGGAAAAAATGTAAATAACACAATACTCAACCTCCCATAACCTCAATCCAAATAGTAAGGTGTACAGCAATGTTCCTTGGTATATTTTAAAATTAGCTGTTATTTCAGACAAAAGTGTGTTACCCTAAAGTTGGAAAAAATTAGTTATATAATTTTGCTACATTCCTTCAAGTTTAAATGCATAAATCCATGTTGGCTTCCTGTAATACTAAAAAATGCAAATATGTTTTTAAATCACAAAATAGACAGATACTGAAGGAAAACTCTAGACCCAGTGCACAATTATCTAGCGACTGTTTTCTTTTAGTGAACTTTACAAAACCTGTTGGGCAAACACAATCCTAACTAAATAATGCTGATTCTACTTCTTCCCAAGAAGAAATAATTGAAAAGAATCAAATGATAAATGAAATGAATGGTTCCCCATCAAAGCAAATGGTGATAAATAGAAACACCTTAGTGTTGCCAGCACTCACACTAATGTGAACTGGTCAGTAGAATTTATAATTATTTTTTTTTTACCTATTGCAGGCTGGTTCTTTGTGCTGGATCTGATGTTAAAGTGATAAATTAGAAAGAGGGAGGTTGTCTAATGAGCAAGCAGGCAGCAATATATCAAAAAAGCCCAAACAAATCTAGGCTTCTACCAATGTCTGGGGTTTTTTTGATGCTCCTTTTAGGAGAGAAAAGCATGCTCATTTTGAAGCTGCAGCCAAAAAATATAAATATTTTATATGATTTTCCACATGGATGTATGAAAGGCTCACAAATACACCTGCTGTCTTCTAATATGTGTAAAAGTCTGCAAGACTGGGAAGGCAATCTATACTCATGATCAGTCAAAGAGTTTGCAGTTACTCGCCTATGAGTGTTTAAACATGCAACAATACATCTGCATTTCTGAAAGTGAAACCCTTCATGTTGCACTAGAAATATAAGTAAGTCACTTAAGTCAATTGGGAAATGCTCATTTAATTCTGTGAAAATTCAATCAAATGCATA